GATGTTTCTATCTCTCTCTCCCTTCTTCTCTCTCTCTCTCTCAAAATTAATAAAGAAAAAAAAAATTTTTAAATTATTTTTAGAGAGAAGAAAGGAGAGGAAGAGAGAGAGAGAGAGAGAAACATTGATTGGCTGCCTCTTGCATGCTCCCTACTGGGGATCGAGCTGGCAACCCAGGCATGTGCCTTGATTGGGAATTGAACCTATGATCTCTTGGTGCATGGGATGACGCTCCACCAACTGAACCACACCAGCCAGACTATTTTTGCTTTTGTTACCTTTGTTTTTGGAGTCAGATCCAATAAATCATCACCAAGACTGATGTCAAGGAGCTTATTATCTATGTTTTCTTCTAGGAGTTTTAGGTCTTACATTCAAGTCTTCAATTAATTTTGAGTTAATTTTTGCACATGGTATAAAATAGTGGTCTAGCCCTGGCCGGTTTGGCTCAGCGGTTAGAGCGTCACCCTGCAGTCCAGAGAGACCCTGGTTCGGTTCCCGCTAAGGGCACGTACCTCGGTTGCAGTTTGTCCCCTGCCCTGGTTGGGTTGTGCGGGTGGCAACCACTCGATGTGTCCCTTTCACATCGATGTTTCTCTCTCTCTCTCTCTCTCTCCCACTCTATCTGAACAAAAAATGGGAAAATGTCCTCAGGTAAGGATAGAAAATAAATAAATGAATAAATGAATAAATGAATAAATAAATAAATAAATAAATAAATAAAATAAAATAAAATAGTGGTCTAGTTTCCTTCTTTTGCATATAGCTGTGCAGTTTCCCAGCACCATTTATTGAGGAGACTGTCTTTTCCCCATTGTATATTCTTGTCTCCTTTGTCACAAATTAATTATATATGCATGGGTTTACTTCTGTGATCTCTATTCTGTTCCATTGATCTATGTGTCTGTTTTGATGCCAATACAATACTGTTTTGACTACTATAGCTTTGTAATATAGTTTGAAATCAAAGAGTGTGATATCCCTGGCTTTGTTTTTCATTCTCAAGATTGCTTTAGCTAGTCAGGGTCTTTTGTGGCTCCATATATACTTTAGACTCGGGCTGGCATTGCTCAGTGGTTAGAGTATTCGCCCTCACACCGGAGGGTCTGAAGTTTCAATTCCCAGACAAGGGCACATAGCTGGATTGCAGGTTTGATCCTTAGCCCCAATTGGGGCTCGTGTGGGAGGCAACCATTTGATGTGTTTCTCTCACATCGATGTTTCTCTCTCTCCCTGCCCTCCCACTTCCTCCCTCTACTCTCTCTAAAAATCAATGGAAAAATATCCTCAGGTGAGGATTAACAAAAATAAATACATTTTTGAATTGTTTGTTCTATTTCTATAAAAATTGCCATTGGAATTTTGATAGGGAATTCATTGAATCTGTACATTGCTTTGGGTAGCATGGACATTTTAACAATATTACTACTTCCAATCAGATGGTGAAATTTTAGAGGAGCTCTGTTCCCTAGAACCATCTGTTTTTTCAATTTTTATTAATTTATTTTTGTTACAGCTGTTTCCCACCCCCCAGACAACCTCCTCCCTATCCCACCCCCCCACCCCAGCATTATTGTCTATGTCTATTGGTTATGCACACATGCATACACCTGGAACCTTCTGAATGGATTCATGTGTCATTTGGTGGCCAACTGCTTCATTTTGAGTGCTGAAGGTCTGCTTTCCATCCTAACCCATACATTCTATACATTTCTGTTTACTTTTCCCCTTTGCTCCTCTAAGATTTAAAAAAAAAAAATCAGCCCTGTCCGGTTTTCTCAGTGGTTAGAGCGTCAGCCCAGGGACCAAAGGGTCATGGGTTTGATTCCCAGTCAGGGGTGCATGCCTGGGTTGTAGGTTTGATTCCTGGCCCTGGTTGGGGTCGTGTGGGAGGCAACTGATTGATGTGAGAGAGCCACACCAATGTTTCTCTCTCTCTCTTCCTCCCTCCCTTCCACTCTATCTAAAAATAAATGGAAAATTATCCCCGGTGAGGATTAACAACAACAACAACAACATCATCCAAAGCACTAGGGCAATGGGTCTCAGTTTATAGTCCGAATTCTCTTTTAATTGCTACCCATTCTTCCTCATTAACCAGGTCTCTAGTCTAGACATGCAGGAAACAGCTCATCACTCTCCTTTCTTTCTATCAAACCCAGTTCACAATTTTGCCTTACTGTTCCATTAAATCTAGCCCACTTTATTTATTTATTTATTTATTTATTTATTTATTTATTTAATCCTCACCTGAGGATATTTTTCCATTGATTTTTATTTTATTTATTTATTTTAAAAAATGTTTTTAAATCCTTACCTGAGGATATTTTTCCACTGATTTTCAGATAGAGTAGGAAGGAGGGAGGGAGGAAGAAAGGGAGGGGAAAGAGAGAGAGAGAAACATTGATGTGACAGAAACACATCGATTGGTTGGCTCCCACCCAACCCCACCCAGGGCTGGAGATTGAACCTGCAACTGAGGTACATGCCCTTGACCAGGAATCGAACCTGAGACTGTTTGGTCCATGGGAGGATTTTCTAACTGCTAAGCCAAACCAGCCAGGGCCCAGCACACTTTTTACTTTTTTTTTTTATCCTCATCCAAGGATATTTTTCCACTTATTATCAGATAGAGTGGGAGGAAGAGAGAGAGACAGAGAGAAACATTGACGTGATGAGCCTCATCGACTGGTTGCCTCCTGCATGACCCAACCAGGGCCAGGGACTAACCACAACCGAGGTACGTGCCCTTGACAAAAATCGGACCCGCGACTCATTAGTTCACGGGTTGATGCTCTAACCTCTGAGAAAAATTGGCCAGCCAGTTCACTTTTTTTTTTTTTTTTATCCTCACCCGAGGACATTTATCCATTTTTTGTTCAGATAGAGTGGGAGGGAGAGAGCGGGAGAGAGAGACAGAGACAGAGACAGAGAGAGAGAGAAACATCGACATGAAAGGGACATATCAAGTGGCTGCCACTCGCACGACCAGCCAGGGCTGGGGACAAACTGCAACCGAGGTACATGCCCTTACGGGAACCGAACCCGGGTCTCTCTGGACCGCAGGCCAACGCTCTAACTGCTGAGCCAAACTGGCCAGGGCCAGCCAGTCTACTTTTTAAAAACCTTTCCACCTCTGGAGATCCCTGGAGAACACTTAGAGGTGCATGCTCAAGGAGAAATTGAACTTAATGTTTAGGCAGACATAATGGAAACACATCTGGAGTGGGAGTAACAAACTGCATGTGCAAGGCCTGGTTTACCTTGAACTAATCTTGAGATGTGGGGCAAGTGATTTCACCTCCATGGGTTCAGCATGTGCATCTCTCAACTGCAGTGGCTCCTCCTAGTCTCCTGTGTTCCTCTAGTTCATTCATCTTCTAAAGCCCTTGATGACAGATCAGAGACACAAATGTTTTAAGAACCACAAGCGAAATGCTCATTCACCACTCAGGAGCTCACTCAAGGCTCTTTATCAGGAGTTATAGGCAAAAAAGGTCATCCTAAGCCTGCTGTGGTCTGGAAGTGCTTGTAACAAGATTGTCTTTGGAATCACTTCCTTAACAAGACTTTAAAGCCCTTTATTAACCCAAACAATTGCTGAACTGACAGGGACAGAACAAACGCACCCCTTGATGTGGGCGGCATGTGCTTTCTGGTGGCCCTCGGCAGAGAATTTTCTCTATCCCTCCAAAACTACCACAGACAAGAAGCTTCACTGGTCACCGAGGCCAGCCGGAGTCCACTTAGGCTGAGGGTCAGCACAGACCAGAGAGGGGGAAGGGCTGGTCAGGCCACTGTGGCCAAGAGAAGAGGGCAAGTTGGACCAGGTCACAAAACCAAAGGTCTCGTACCAGAGCTCAGGGCGGGCACGGTTCAGCAGGCCATATGGCCCGAACAATGTCTGGAGGCAGCAGGGAGCCAAGAACACGGGCTTGGTCACAGAGCGGGCAGGAAACCGAGCCTGCACCAGCAGCAGTGCAGAGACACGTGGAGGGCCCAAGGCAACCAAAACAATAATGACCAGGGCAGTGAGAACGGCAAGTCACAGTAAGCACAGCAGGAAGATTTGGGGAATATTGGGCGCAGAGGTTAATTAGACCTTTGACTTAACAACTGAACATGGACTACATTCAAAGAGGAACAGAACCTCATGTATATGACCAGATGTAAGCATACACATTTAAATGAATACAGATATGTGAGAACAGTGAGTAGAAATTAGCAACAGGTGATGATTATATGCAATGGAAACAGAACTCAGACACTGACTTACACCTAGTACTGTGCTTGACACATACTAGGTGCTCAATAAATGATGTTAATCTCTTTCTTTCACTGCTACCCAGAGAGGGGACCTGCCCCCACTTCCTAGAGAACGAATGGATATTATGAACCACCACAAACTTTACTTACCTGATACTAATGGAAAGTCTAATTGCTTAGTACAGCAGTTCACTTGTACCCCACTGTGCTATTTACTGAGTCTTAATTAATTTCTTTGCATCTAAATGTGACCATATCAGGACGCACTAAATCCACAGAAATTCTGCATTGGAATGCAGCCCCTCTGCTGTCTCCTCTAGTCCCTAACGTGCGCTCGGTCCAGGCAGGCACACCACTGGGGCCCTGAAGGAGGATCCTGTTCACATGGTACTCAAGGGGCTTCTTTCTAATTAAGTGAGAGGCCAAGGCCGCTGGAGTGAGTCCCTAGCCACACTCTTCCAGGGGGCTGATCTCACCCATGCCCACCCACTGCTCCTAAGGAAACCGGGGTCTCAGGTGAGCCGCATTCAGGAGAAGCGTCCGGGCCACTGCTCTACAGAGTGTGGCTGAAGTCAGTGCTGACAGCTCACCTGGGAACTGGGGCGCCAGACCTCCTGTAGGCAGGGCGCCCTTCCCCTCCGCACGATGACATCATGGAGCTCAATTGCTCCATAAAAGCAACCCGCCTGGAGCCAGGAGCGCAAAGAACAAGCGCTGGCCACCGTGCCTGCGCCTGCGCTGTCTGCACGTGGTCCCCGGTGCAGCGGTCCCTGTGCACGCCCGCCAGCCCCAGCTCGGTGACCAGACCGAGAAGGAGCCAGAGCCCGGGGCAGTCTGCGCCTGCCCCGCAGGAGCCCCCGAAGATGCCCCACCGCAGCCTGCATGCAGGGGCCGTCCTCCTGCTCCTGATCTTAAAGGAACAGCCTTCCAGCCCAGCCCCACTCAACGGTAAAGTTGCTGCCTCTTTCCTAACAGTCCTGGAGTGCTCAGCCACACCTGGACGGAAGGATTTCCTGCGGGGCACTTTAATGATAAAGTAAAATGATTTGGGGGCGGGAAGGGGTTGCAAGGACACGCACAGTATCAAATTGCACATTTTTAGATGAGATGCTCCCTTTTTCTTTGTAATGCACTACCTGCTGTGGTTGGGGAAAACGAATTGTCTCCGTGTTAAAATACGTTTGTGTGTTCTCTGGGCACCTGCAGCTCTGAAGGGGTTGCTTGGGAATTTGCTCACAGGGGAGGGGGGACCAGCATTTAAAATGTTGTGCTCCAATTCACGTGCGGATAGTAGGGCGATTGTGGCACCCTGAGCAGTGTCACTGCCAGGAAGGGTTCGGTCACTCCGGTGCAGAACCCCCTGACCTGCGGTGGGTGCTTTACTTTGGAGAGACTCTAGACTATTATGTTTTACCTGCAAGTCAAAGGGATGATGCATCCCATTCTTAATCATTGTTTTTCTCTAGAAGTGCTCTACTGTCTTAAGAGTGTGTGTGTGGTGTGTGTGATGTGTGTATGTGGCGTATGTGTGATGTGTGTATGGTGTGTGTGTGCATGCTTGTGTGCAGGCACTCAGATGAGCATACACACCTTATTTCTGAGTGTAATTAGGGCCCTTAACCCCAAAGGGCTGGAGGCTGAGGGTGTGGAGTGAGGTGGCAGAAGGTGGCGGGTGGACCTGACTGTAGGCTCAGGTCTGTGCAGTGAACTGTGGTGAGGAGCCAAGGTCAGATTACTCGGTCCTTTGTAACAAGAGGAGGATGTCAAGCTTTTGCCTGCCTCTCCAACAGCTGGGCGATGCTGTTCAGAGAGTAAACGGTGGCTTTTGTGGAAACTGATGGTGCTCCTGCCCTTGACAGTTTGCCTGAAGACATTTGTGGGTTCTATAATTCCTGGACCCAGGTTAGGTTGAAATATTTATAGAAGGACCCAAAGTGATCATAATGACTGAAAATCTATACTCCCTGGCTAGGCAGCGGTGGTGGGAAATTGGTCCCGTTCAGCAGCCTGAAACCTGGAGCCCCATTTTTTCTGGGGGGTCATTATACCCGTGGGGCAGGTCAGGGGAAAGTGGGGAGCTGGGCTGCAGCAGCCTTGCCATTACTCTGAATTCAATTCCAGTCTACTGACTGGCATGATATTCTTGATATTGTCTCCCTCAGGGAGAAGTAGAAGGTAGGTTGGAGAAAGGAGTTAAGTAAAAGTATAAATTAATTTTTAAAACTGCAAACGTTGAAATGTATTCCCCTCTAGAGAAAGCTGCACTGAGACCTGAAGTTTCACTAGACGTCTCCCTTTTAGTTCCAAGCTGTTCTAAGACAAGAGAGAGCCATTCATTGGCTCTCCTTCCTGAAAGCCTGTTCCTCCCCTCACTCTGGGGGCAGCTCCTCCTCCCATCTTGTTCTTTCTCTGCCTGACTCCCTCTCCCTCCTCCCCTGCCCTCCTGTCCTTCTTCCGCCCTCCCTTTCTCTCCTCTGCCCCATCTCCCCGCCCCATTCTCCAAGTTGGGGGTGGGGGGGAGCTTGCAGTAAAAATTCCACTTTCACCCCACACTGAGAAGCCTGCCTGCCTATCCCTAGATTTTAAGAACACAGCTTTTATTTTGGTATTTCTCATGAGATTCTTGGCTTTCTAACTGCCTTGCTGACAAAGTCAAAGCAAAAACCACTGAGGTGTAGAATATAAGTATTAACCCAAAGTTAGGGCTGTAGGGGGGTTAAGCTGGGTAATGGGGTCAAAATGTGGTCTGCCCCCTGCCTGGAGCATTTAAATGTCTAGCAGTTGGCACTGGTGTGTGTGTGAAGAAAACTGTCTGGAGTCAGGAGCGAGGGGAGGAGGGAGGGAGCAAAATAAGGTGAAGTCAGGTGTCTTCCTGAGAAAACCTCGGAGTTCTTATTTGCTGTGGGGAAACACTTCAATGAATTCTGCAGATACTGCTTGGTCTGAACCTGGTGTGGAGAGCTGGGCAGTCTCAAGAACTCAGGGAAGGTTCTAGCACCCAGGGCAGGACGCAGGCAAAGCCCTGAACTCCCAACCTGGATCTTTGTAAATATCACTTCCTCAGTGAGCACCCAGGGCATTCTCCCTGCCTATACACTGGACATGCAGGTGCCTACAGGTATCCCCCGGGGGCCTCCCAAATCTCTGACCCTCATGGGAAGGAAACAGTTCCCCTCCCAGAAGGGCCTATTCGCTCAGGAAGCCACCAAGGTGTGTTTGCAGCAGCCCTGGTCTTGGTCCTGCCGGGTCAATTTAGTCCTGCCCCTAAAGCTAAAGGTGGGGAATCAGGAAGTGCCATTTCCAAGTAAAGCGAACAGACACACATGGCCTTTGTAAAGCCTGCCTGAGGTCACTTTGAGCTGAAATGAACCAGGCTGGGGCTTGACCTTCACGAATGACCTCCCTGACTTAGATCACCTCCCTTTCATTTTATGGTGCTTCTTTTCCCCAGCCTCCTGCTCCTGAGCGCCTCCAGACATTGCCATTTATACCCACAACACCACGTCTTGAGGACCAGCGAGGCTGCTCAGAGAGAGGAGGGTGGGGAAAGTTGCTCTGGATGTTGCTGCTTTTCAAGAATGAGTCTCTGGTCCCGTGTCACCATCAGGCCCTGCAGCCCTAGATGTCCACTCCACAGCTTTGGTCCCTCACCTTCCCAGAGTATGATGCTGATGAATGCTACTATAGTAGGAGAAACCTCAGCTTAGCAAACTTTGGGGTGCAGAACAGAAGATGCAGGACATCGAGGGTGTGGTTTGATTTGGGGAAAAGTGCAACTAAAACTCCTGGCCAAAGCAGGGCTGCTCAGAGACAGCAGCTGTTTTTCTGGTGGCCTCCAGGAGCACAGTGCCGCCGTGTCTCTCCAGGGGAGCCGTGAGGACGAACTCCTGTCACTTGTCCAACTTGACATCCCAGGCCCCCGGGGGCTCTTCTGGCTAAGTGGAAATCGTCTGGCTTCTCTGAGTGAAATCCACGATTGTATTTTAATAGTGAGCCCCCCAAACAAAACGCTGAAGGAAGATGCTCAGGGAAGAGGTTTGGTGTCTTCTGGAGCTTAGTTCTAAGGCAATGCTTTCTTGGTCCCTTTTCACTCTTGTCTCCGTGGAGGGGCTAGTGTAAGCTTGGGGGTCACATGCATGTCTGGTTCACCCGTGATTCTTAACATCTTCATCCAAGTACTAATTCAGGGGAGGTTAATCTCGGGACTGTTAACTCCTGTGGGGTCCATAGCAGATTTCAGGGGTTCTGTGGACCTCCTGAAATGAATTGTACATGAACTTTTGTGTGTCTAAGCTTTCGGGCATTTTTAAGAGGAAAATGTCCATAGTATACATCAGATACTTAGAGCGGTCAGGACTCCCCTGCACTTCAAAGACTGAGAAGGAGATGCAGAGATTTTTTAATTTTCTGGGAACTTAGAGGTGGGATGTCAGTAAATACCTTAAACCTAAACAAATCATGAAAGAGCAGTATAAGGATGTGTTTTATTGAGATGTGGAGATAATACCAAAAGAATGAAAGAGTATTCAAAGTGGGTACCCTAGGGAGCAGGAAAATAACTAGGGGTGTAAGGGGAACTTTTTTTTTGTTTTTGTTTTTTATCCTCACCTGAGGACATGTTTGCATTTATCTTCAGATAGAGTGGGAGGGAGAGAGGGAGGAAGAGAGAGAGAGAGAAACATTGATGTGAGAGAGACACATCGACTGGTTGCCACCCACATGACCCCATCCAGGGCTGGGGACAAATTGCAAGCAAGGTACATGCCCTTAGTGGGAACTTAGCGGGAACCAAACCCAGGACTCTCTGGTCCACAGGCTGATGCTCTAACCGCTGAGCCAAACCAGCCAGGGCCCACCTGACCCTTTAAACCACATACAGTGTGTTTTGATAAAATTACCAATTAATATTGAGGATTAAATAACCAAAAGCACTGAAGCAAAGAAATGAAACAGAACAAAACAAAATATGAGATTAAACCAGCTTTAAAAAAAAAAAAAGTTGCCCTGGCTGGTTTGGCTCAGCAGTTAGAGCGTTGGCCTGTGGTCCAGAGAGACCCGGGTTCGGTTCCCACTAAGGGCACGTACCTCGGTTGCAGTTTGTCCCCGGCCCCGGTTGGATCGTGCAGGTGGCAACCACTCAATGTGTCCCTTTCACGTCGATGTTTCTCTCTCTCTCTCTCCCTCCCACTCTATCTGAAATATCAAAAAAATGTCCTCGGGTAAAGATAAAATTTAAAAAAAAAAAGCAAAGTCCTGCTTTAGCTTTTCAAAGCACCATTGGCTTGAATGGGAGATGCCTGGTTGTGATAAGTGACCAGTTAAGTTTTGCACAAATCAGTTCCCAAGAGAAGGGGGATCTGAGAGCCTTCCTCCTCCTGCCGTCCCCTGTGGGCCAAGAACCCGGGGACACTGGGAGAAGCTCAGAGAGAGGGACTTAGGAGCTCAACAGTCCCCTCATTGTGATGTGTCCCAGAGACACCCCGAGTCTTAGTTCAGGGTCTCAGTTCCCTTCTGGAGGTGGAGAGGAAGGCGTCAGGCAGGGTAATGAGAACACAGCTCCGCCACAACTCCTGAAAAGACATGTTTTGACGTAGGATGAAGGACTCCTCAGGGTGTGGAGTGGGAAGTGGTGGGTGACTTTCATTATAGTCCTGGCAGAAACTTTTCCTACGCGTTTCTCCCACCCCTGGAATTCTAACCTGGATGAGGGTTGCAGCTTCCCTAAAGAAAAACTTGCCTTTTGAGATGAGCGTCTGTTCTTGATGTACTGATGTGAACTGCTCTCCAGGATATGTTGCTCAGTGGGGAAAAGCAAGATGCAAACAGTTTCCAGCTTGCAAAAGCGTGTGCAGCCGGCAGGGAGATCCGGGCAGCTTTTGGGTTTTGAGCCCTGTGAGTTTATTACTCATTCAGCTAATAAAATGTGGCTTCTCTAAAATGTCTGGGGAGCCCTGGCTGGTTTGGCTCAGCGGTTAGAGCGTTGGCCTGCGGTCTGGAGAGACCTGGGTTCAGTTCCTGCTAAGGGCACATACCTTGGTTGCAGTTTGTCCCTGGCTCTGGTTGGGTCGTGTGGGTGGCAGCCAGTTGATGTGTCCCTTTCACGTTGATGTTTCTCTCTTTCTCGCTCTCCCTCCCACTCTATCTGAACAAAATATCAAAAAATGTCCTCGGGTGGGGATTAAAAAATAAAATAAAAATAAAATGTCTGGGGAGGCTTCTCTTTGACCCAGGAACCCTGCCGAGCTCTCCGCCTGTGCCCCCTTGTGCCCTCCTGCCACCCTGAGAAGCAGTTGTTCTGACAGACCCTGGAACAGTTTTAAGTTCTGGGCGTCCACCTCCTTTTCAGTCTCACCCGTTTCAAAGTGACATCGGTGTTTTGCTATTATTCAAGCTCTGTTGTACTTACTTGTTTTGTTTTGTTCTTTGCAGGATTCAACTGGACCTATTCTGGTAAGTAGAGATCTTATGTTATTTTTTTGAGATGGCCGTGTTTAATGAGAAAGCCAGAAATATCGAGATCTCTGGAGATTCTCTCTGAAGGTCGAGGAGAGCAGTTTTGATATTAAAAAGGCACAAAGGCCTCTAAGGAATCGCCCCACACAGGTTGACCGCTGCCCTTTCTCCAAGCAGGTGAGCCTGCTCTGTGCACTTGAACTTTGAGTCAGTGTTAAGGCTTCCAGATTCCTACAAGGATTCCTACCGAACCTCCCAGGTGGAGATGCCCCAATGCAAGGGCCCGGGCAAGAGCGAGCCTTTCTCTTTCACAGGACATTTATTCTACAATAAGGGTAAAGGGCTCCTTTCTGAGAGTTTGGCTCAGGTCCCAGGACTTAAGCTGTCAGTATGCCTAGAATTAACTTCTTCTTGCCCTGCTTGTGAACAAGCACTAGACAAAGCAGAGATGATCAGTCCTTTGTGAAAGAGGGATGCTTGTCTTCAATCGGGAGAGAGGGACATCCACTGTGCAACAAGTTTCTGTGGGGTTGGGTCAAGAACGACACTGGCCACTCTGGCCGGCCTGTAGCTGGTCTGTGGCAGTGAATTGGAAGCTTGGTCATCCGCTGGAGTGGGAATGGGAGGCCAAGCACCTGGGTCCGCTGGCAAGCGCAGGAATGAGGAATGTTAACAGTCCCCCTTATCTGCAGTTTCATGTTCTGTGGTGTCAGTTACCAAGGTTAACCATGGTCTGAAAATATTAAACGGAAAATTCCAGAAATAAACAATTCATCAGTTTTAAATCGCGTGCCATTCTGAGTGGAGCGATGAACTCGCGTGCCATCCTACCCCGTCCCGCCCAGGGCGTGAATCGTCCCTCTTGCCCTGCTCAGGCTCCCCGCCTGGTGGCCACTTAGAGGCTGTCTTGATTACGGGGGGCAGGGAGCCCACAGGCACATACCTTCTAATATAACATACTGTAATTGTGCTAGTTTATTATTCTTGTTGTTAATCTCTTACTGTGCCTAACTTATACATTCAACTTTATCATAGGTGTGTATGTATGTATAGGGGTGAAAAAGTATATAGGGTTCAGTACTATGTATAGTTTCTGGCATCTTCTGGGGGTCTTGGGATGTATCCCCCTTGGATAAGGGGGGACTACTGTGATGTCCCGTTAAGGACAGAGTCACAGGGACTTTCAGGATAGCTTGTTCCCGTGAGCGGGAGGCTGGAACTGGCCGCATTGGCACAGGGGTGGTGACAAGCACCGTGATTACTACCGTGGGAGCGGAATCCAGAGACAGACCTGGCTTAGATTTGCCAAAGTTAGTCTTTGGATATTTGTTAGCCCAGGAGGCATAGAAAAGTCATCAAACTAATCAATCAATCAATCAATCAATCAATCATCCACCTACAAGGTCTCCTTGGCTGTAGCATGATATGGCTCCATCATTACTAACATCCCTTACTGTATGTATTATGTGCAAAGCACCGTTGCTAAGTGGATGGGTAATTGGGAGGGTAGGCTGTGGGGTGTAGCTGGGAATTACTTAAGGCTCACAATTCAAAGCAGAAGATAATAGGTAATAATAACATAATAAATGGCTCAGTGCTCTGATGGTTCAGAGAAGTGTCAGAATGCTAGGGTTGCATGGTCAAGGAAGGCTTCCTGGGGGAGGAGGGCTTTCACCTGGACCTTGGAGGATGGGAGGATTCAGTGTGACAGGGAAGACGTGTTGTTGACCAAGATGATGATGGCATCACGTGAGCGGGGCAAGAAAGAACAAGGTGGTATTTGAGGGAAATCATGTAGAGAAGGAGTCACAGGGGAGTGATGGACTCTGAGGTCAAAAAGAGAGGTTGGGTCAAACAGGGGAGGCACAGAGGGCAGGCCAGGCCCTTCCCACTTTGTCTCCCAGGTGGAGGGGCAGGGCAGGGAGGTATCTGTGTTTTAGGGAGAGCAACATGGTGGTGGGGGGCGAGAGGGACGGATGAGCAGGTGCTTGGCCTTTACAGAAGAAAGCTCATTCTGTGTCTCAACATCCAGTTCATGGTGATGGTGGTAAGAGGGAAGGAGGAGCAGGGCAAGAGGAGACACAGAGGGAGAGGAGACCGGCAGGGCCCAGGGCCTCAGGCTCCGGGGGGCAGGCGCAGTGGGTGGGAGATGACAGGAGCAGCTCTGCACCCAGAGAAGGCGGGACCCGGGTCCTGGGCCTTATTCCACGTGGTCTTAGGGAGCCCTTCGAGCCCTCTGGGTCTCGCTTTCTCCCTGTCGGTAACCTGGGGAAGGTGTTGTCTAGATCACTGTCCCTCCAACTGTGGCTTGGGGCCACCTACATCCACCACCTGGAATGCTTTCTCAGTATGCAGCTTTCAGGGGCTTAGCTGGACCTGGGGAAGGCGGGGGCCTGAAAACCGTGTCTGTTTCATGCACTTCCCAAGTGACTCTTACACACGCTGTGTCAGAGAACCACTGGCCAGAGGGTCCCCAAGACCTTTCCAGCCTGAGTCAACGGCACCTTGCCCCACTTCTACTGGCCTCCCAGGTACAGTGGAAACACAACTCGAATCTCGCCGGGCTCCCTGCCTCTGTGTGAGCCCCAGGGCCGAGTGAGATAGTTCCAGAGAGCAGAGTCAGGAAGATGTGGGAGGAAATCTTGCTGCCCTCAGTCATGAATAGTGTTCCCTGAAGGAGGCTTCTCTGTCCAGCCACATTGATTAGTTCAGAAGCATTTCTCCCTGACCGCTAGCTCCGGCCAGCCCTCTGTCCCTCTGTCCTGCACGACTAGAGCAGCGATTTGCTGAGGAAGCAGAGGGCAGTCTAATGATGCATGCTGTGCATGGGTGGGGGAAGTTGACTAGAAAGGCAAATTTGGCTTTCCATTAGTGAAATGAACACATATGATACGGAGTTAGCCCTCCGTGGAGTCAGTGAAGACGACGGATGGGGGACAACTGAGGAGGCCGGCTGGCAGCTGGCACCTGGGCTGAGCTGCACAGCTAACAGAGGGCCTGGCATGGGTGCTGGGAAAGGCTGTTTCCAAGCAGCAGGGGCTGCACTGAATGGGGCAAGTCCAACCGAGCGCCACGTGGCTTTCCCGGGCGCAGACCTCAGCTACTTTGCGCGTAGATGCTGCTGAGTCATCCTGATCCAGGGACCTCCCACTGCCTGGAACACGTGGCAGGACTTCTAGAAATGCACTGAAAGAACTCTACCTCCATCCCTGTCCACATCGAGTCACCAGGCTGACCTCTCAGACGCCCTCCCTGGAGGCAGGAGGACCATCTGCCGGCCAGGATGGGGCCGGCCGTCCCCTGTGCACTCCTGGTGGTGGAGCAGCGGCTGGGTACATGCTGGGTCTAGAATTGCTGAGTGGGCCCTCCCCACTGGAAGTCAGTCCCATGTCAATCCTGCGGAGCCCTGGCAGCTTCACCAACTCTGAAGGGGAGGGCGGCTCCAGGTCGGGTTGTCATGTGAGCTGAGGATAAACTCCAGCTGGCTGAAGCGAGTCTGTGTTGTTAGAAGTCAGGAGAGCGGTGCCCTCAGGGTCTGGAAGTAACCAGCAGGAGGCAGGAGGCGTGAGAGGAGGTGCTGATCATGTTCAGTTTGTGAAAATTCGCCATGTTGTTCAGTTATGATACAGGCACTTTTCTGTATGTATATTACAGTCAATAAAAGAGTTAAAAATTCTAGCTGACTGGGAGAGTCATCCTCACCCTGATAGTTTTTTTAGCCCTCCCCCAGGAAAAACCAAAAAATTCCTCAGTGTGTTCAAAACAACAGAGTAACCAAAACTAAGAGCCCAAGAACTCGCCATGTGAGCAGAGAATGGACACGCTCCGTCCTGAGGATAACCAGACACGGCTTTGGTGCTCTTTGGATATGAGCTAGTTCAGAAATCAGCAAATACCACTGTTTGCTAGAGAGTTTAGAGAAGCAAGACCCTTACATTTTCAAAGGAGAAGGGCTGAAAAGGGAGCATGGAAGCCAAGCCTGCCTCCTGGAGGGTGAGAGTCCCACCTCTCCCCTCGTCAGGGCGTCAGGGCCCATGAGGCAGCCACCAGACCAGCCCCTCCTGCTGCCGGGAACTCCGGGTGACGCGATGGTGGCTTGGCCAGGGGGTGCCAGGCAGCAGGCTATAGCCACGCACCGGCCCTCCTGCCCGTCTCCGCAGTGCTGGGCAGCCCTCAGCTCTGGCAGGACGCCGTGTGACCCAGGAATGCCACAGCATTCCTCATGCCGCTCTTCTCTTTCCCAGACTGTAGCTTCTCCATCGCCAAGAACTGCCTCTGGGAACGAGGAAGGGATCCTCCACGGGGCAAACACTGGTCCTCCGGGCTCCCGCCTTCCGCCTCCACTCACCTTCGGTCCTGACTCTGCTGGAATATGAAATTGCTATAAATGACCTTTCTCTGGGACTTGGGACATCCTTCCAAGCTCTTCCCAAACTCAGAACCAGACACGGAGGACATGGAAGGAGGCTAGGAGGAGAACCTCTTTATTTTTCTTTTCTTTCTTTCTGTTAGTCCTCACCTGAGGATATTTTTTCCATTGATTTTCAGATAGAATGGAAAAGAGGGAGAGGGAGAGAAACATCGATGTGAGACATAGCGATTGGCTGCCTCCCACATGACCCTGACCGGGGCCGGGGATTGAACCTGCAACTCAGGTACGTGCCCTTGACAGGGAATGGAACCCATGTCCTTTCGGTCCAAGTGCCGACCATCTAACCGCTGAGCCAAATGAGCCAGGGCTACTTTCTTTTCTTTAGTGGTGATAAAGGCACCATGTGACCTTCCACTGAAATGCAGTATGAAAAGCAGACTAAGTAGAGCTAAAGGGAGAACTCAGAACGGCAGTCAGGGAGCACTTGCCATTCAAAGGCTGATCAGATTCAGGGGTGTGCTTGTTCTCCCCAAAGGTAGAGAGGTTTAGCCAACTAAAACCCCCCAGTGGCTGCTCCCCCGCTCCAGTATCCTCCCGAGGATGGACGAGGAGAGGCACAAGGCAC